GAATAAGAAATTGTTTAGGGACAATTTCAAAAACTAGAGATTTTTTTATATATCCTAAGCGTAAAGATGTTTTAAATAATGCAATTGAAAAATTTGAAGAGTATAATATTACAAAAAAATCTTTAAAACGACTATGCTCTACTCGGTGGATAGAACGGTATCATGCTGTAAATGATTTTCTAGAACTTTTTGAGTGTATTATTAAATCATTGGACTTAATTTCTAATTGGGCGGATTCAGACACATCTACACAAGCGAGTAATTTGCGTTCTTCTATATTACAAGGTGAATTTATTATCTGTTTACATATTGTAGCTAAAGGATTTGGTCTTGGACTGCCATTATCAAAACAATTACAACGGATAAATATAGATTTAGTAGAAGCTATGAGCCTTGCAGAAGATACCTTAAAAGAACTTCAGACATTACGAACAAACGTAGATATTGAATTTCATGCTATTTTTGAGATTCAAAAGGTTTAGCAAGTAAATTTAATGTAAATATATCTATGCCAAGAATAACAGGCAGACAAAAAAATAGAGTTAATATTGTCACTGAATCATCAGAAACCTATTTTCGAATAAGCGTATTTATACCTTATTTAGATACATTCATCGAACAACTAAAATCAAGATTTATCGACCATGAAAATACAATTTTAGATTTTAAATCGTTAATAGCTGTTGAACAAAATGAAACGACATTTTTGAAGTTGGCAAAAACTTACACGACTGATTTAAGTGAATGTCAAGATTCTATTTTATTATTAGAATATAAACTATGGCAAAGACGGTTAAAAAATGTTGAAACTTGTAATTTACCAAAAAACGCAATGGAAGCAATAATACTATGCAATCAAGGAATATATCCAAATGTTTTTAAATTGCTACAAATATTTGCAACATTACCAGTTTCTTCATCATCGAATGAGAGAACCTTTTCAAATTTAAAAAGAATAAAGACTTACTTACGAAACACGATATCTCAAGTAAATATAATTTATTAATAGTTTGTTTTATTTATTTAAAACTAATATATTTTAAATTTTATTATAGAAGAGATTAAATGGTTTGACTATGTTATCGATTCACAGAAATGAACAAATTACTACTGATGATGTTTTGAAGGAATTGAGCTTAAAAAAAAGGCGTCTTGAATTTATTATTTAAATTACTTTGTATAATAATATTTTAAGTGTATTTATTATTTTCTATTTTCTATTTTAAAAATTATTATTATTTGCTTTTATTTTTATTTTTAAATTTTAAAACTATGTTTACAGTAGGTATTTTATACATGTATGATTTAAATTACATAAAAATTACTACTTTTAATTAAATAAATAAAAAATGTTTCATTACAATATTTGATGAATATATTATAAACTTGGTGGTAGTAAATGTAAAACAGAGAAATATTGCAACCAATTAACAAATAAGTAGGTATATACCGATATTATCTGGACACCCCCCCCCCCCAAAAAAAAAACATACAAAATACGCCACTGCTCTCAAGAATGTTGTGGATATTATTTTATTTTTTTTTTTTTAACGGTATATACAAAATGTTCCTTAGGAACAATAAGAATATGAGATAAATGATAAACATACATGAAAAAAACTTGATGGGAGGGGTCACCCAGTGGTAACACTGCCCTTCCTTGAAATACTTGGTGTTTTTATTTTTTCTATATTATATATACATATTTTTATTTTTATTTTTATTTATTTTTTTTTTTTTAATATATTGCTATTTTTGATTACTCGTTGAGGAGATCACGACACCATTTCCTTTTAAGCCTCCTGGGAGGATTGCCAGGAATTGTGAAGGTGGCGAGGTTTGAAATGAGGGGATTTGTATGAGAAGGGAGTTTTGAATGGAATCGCTTGTAAAAGGCTTCTTCGTGGACTGTTTTAATTTTTAGATCGGTGTGTAGAGTTAGTTTTGAGATATAGGGAGGGGAATTTGTGATTTTGCGAAGGATGTTGTTTTGGAAGGTTTGAATTTTGTTAGTATTAGATATTTTGGCATTGCCCCAGAGTTGAAGACCATAGGTCCATATAGGTTTGAATAAGGATTTATAAATTAAGAGTTTAGTATTTAATGTAGTGTGTTTGTTATTGGATATTAGAGTTTTGAAGAAACGGAGACGTGCATTTAAGGCGAGCCTTTTTATTTTAATGTGTTGTGACCATGTGAGACGACGGTCAATTGACAGACCTAAGTATTTAGCCGATTGAGATGAAGGAATTTGAATATTGTCTAGAGACACCCCAGGACAAGGAAGAAGACGGAGTGTAAAATTTGTATGAAGTGATTTTGATTGATTTACTTTGATACGGCATTTTTTATACCAATCAGCCATGAGATCAAGGTGGAGTTGGAGATTGAGGAAAGCTATGTGAGGATTGTCATGGATTGAAATAATTGCCTTGTCATCAGCAAATTCTGCCACAGTTGTGAGCGAAGAGGTGGGTTGATCGGCAGCGTAGATGTTGAATAAAGAAGGAGTGAGGATGCCCCCCTGAGGAACATCTGCACTAATCTTTGCTAAGCCGGAAAAGGATGTACCAACTCTGACCTGGAAGTAACGATCCGTGAGGTAGGATTTGATTAGTAAATAATAGGTTGGATGTACCAGGGGCTTAATTTTACATAGCAGTCCTTCATGCCATACCCTGTCGAAAGCTTGGGATATATCCAGGAAGACACATGAGCAATAACTTTTTTTTTCAAGGGAGAATGATATAGCGTCGACTAGTCTGTACAGTTGGTGTATTGAGGAGTGAGCGGAACGAAAACCAAATTGAGTATTAGGCAAAATAGAACTGGAGGAAATGTAAGGAAGAATTCTTTTGAGAATTAATCTTTCTAATATTTTGCTGAAGAAGGGGAGGAGACTTATTGGTCGGTAGGAGGAAGATATGTCAGGAGGCTTATTAGGTTTTTGAACTAGAATTGTTACAGAGAATTTCCAAAGCATAGGAAAATATGACAATCTTAGACACGCATTATATATAACTGTGAGAAGAACAATGGCTCTTTTGGGGAGGGACCTGGCAACTTCCGCAGTAATCAGGTCAAACCCCGGAGATTTTTTGAGACTGCTTTTGAATTGTAAATTTAACGTCGCTAGGAGAGAAATGCTTAACTGCGGGAGAGGCAGAAAGGGGGATATCGAGAAAACATTTTACCATGTCTGTGTGTAAAGGTATTTGTATATCCGGGTGAGGCGTGAAGGTTTCAGTTAGGTGTTCTTTAAACAGTTCAGCTTTTTCAACATCGGTTGATGCAAATCCACCATGGGGATTAATTATGGGAACGAGCGGGGGTTTGTATTTTAGTAATTTTTTTGAAGCTGTCCAGAGACTACCATTGTTAGGTGATAAGTTGGAGAGATGGTTTACAAAGGATTGGTTTTTATGTTTGGCAAGTATTTTTTTCAGCGAGTTAGATAGGTTGTTATAGATGCTTTTGTGAGATGGAAGGCGTGAACGTTGGTATGCGGCCCTTGCTCTGCGTTTGTTTGTTATGAGGATACGAATATATTCGGGAACTGGAGGAGCAGAATTTGGATACTGTATTTTAGTAGGACCAGATGCCCATGCTGCCTGTTGAATTACATTAGTTAGGTTATTTATGGCTAGATCAATTTCTTGGGGGGGTTTTGAGACTAACTTTTAGTTTAATGTTTTGATCCACCAAGTCATGGAATTTAAGTCTATCAGTTGAATGGAGAAAGAGTTTTGGAAGAGAAGGCCGGATTGGTGGACAGGCGCTGACAGTCAGGAGGACTGCAGAGTGATCTCAACAGGGTTCCAAGAGATTGGTAGCCGCACAGAATAGGTTGTGAGGTATGTTGGAAACAAATATGTCTAGTATGTTGGGTTTTTTACGTAAGGAGGTGGGCCAATATGTTAGTCTAGGGGGCGCGAGGATTTTGTAGCCCTTGAGATTTATATAATTGTAGAGAACAATACCTCTTGGGTTGTTTGTACGACATCCCCAACTCTGGTGTTTGGCATTGTAGTCACCACCTATGATGAAGTTTTGACTAATAGTGCTAAAATAATCTATATAATTTTGAATATTGATATTATGTCTCGGAGGGGAATATATTGCTGCTAAAGTTGTTGGTATGTTGATGAGGTGGAGTAAAATAGCACAAGACTGTAAATGAGGATGACAAAAATTTGGAAGAGATTGAAAAGACAAGGAGGATATAATATAAATTGCAGCACCACCATGAGCAGAGTTATCAGGGTGATTTGCTTTTAGGAGTTGATAACCAGGTATAGGGATGTGGGAGTATTTTATAAAATGTGTTTCGGATATTAAGGCAATTTCGATACGCTTCTCCTGGAGTACTAACTGGAGTTCGTTTGAGTGATTTTTAAGACCGTTTGAGTTGAACAGAAGGATAAGAAGAGAGTTGCTTGTGTATGAAGATATTAATTTTTATCTAGACATTTTGAGACAAGTTGGGTGAGTAGGGTAATTAGTGGATTTAATAGTTATTTGAACTCATCAAGGATTTTGTTTATATCTGATACAGGAGGAGGAGGGATTGTGTGATTAGGGTAAAAACCCGCCGTAGCTTGAGCGTAAGTTTGGGACGACTCTGGTGGATGTGTTAAGGGGGTTACCACTGGATGACTAACCTGTACATTATTCTTATGACTAATATTATCCGATAGGAAATTGCTCCTTTTTGGTTTGTTGCATTGTTGTAGATCTTTGAAAACTGAGCAGCTTTTATAACTTGAGGGGTGATCACCGGAGCAGAGGGCACATTTTGGAGCAGCATCTCGTGGATTTGGACAGGCCGATGAAGAGTGGAGGGCACCGCAGCAGACACATCGAGCTGGATAGCCGTAGTACGATTTAGTATGACCATAATCCTGACAGTTGGTACACTGGCTTATAGTTTTTGATTTGTATGGTTCTTCCACTTTTATTTTGGTGTGGATAAGAGATGTCAGATTATAAATGTCATTGGACTGTATTGTAGGTTCAAGGTCTACGAAGAATAACGGTAGAGGGTGCTTATTGATTTTATGTAGTACATTTGTTACTTGGCGGACCTCAAATAAGCGCGACTCGAGCTCAGATTTGATTAGTTCTATTGGCGTGGTCGGATGAAGATTACGAATGACCACCCGCGTTGGTTTATCTTCTTTAAGTTGGTACGTGTGGTATTCAGCTTTTTGTTCCTTGAGGAAATGAATCAGCGTTCTATAGGCAGCTGGGTTAGTAGTCATAATTTTTAGGCGGTCAGATGAGGATTTGCTGGAGAAATTATCAACTCCGATTAGTTCAATAAGTTCTGTGCAGAGATCGGGAAAGTTGCGAACACCTTTTACAAAAATTGGTGGGGGGAGTGTTGATTTAATTCCGACATTGATGTTTCCTACAGGATTTGACTCGTTCGAAGAAAATGGGGTAGGTATTGTTTGAGTGGAGGGCTCTGGTTCGTCTTGTGAGAGCACATCATAACGATTAGACGAAAAAAATATTTTTTTGTTGTTGATGGGTCGTGTTTTTGGCGAATTTGGTTCGGAAGAAGAGGAGGAGAGGTTTCTTTTACCTTGATTTTTTTTTGACTGTGCCAGGGTCCAATTCCAGACGAAGAACTTGTCATGGTAACGCCTTGATTAACGACTGAGTGATTTGTGTTGACAGAAGTTGAAACTTTGCTTAGGCGAGCAGGCTGTAGTTTGGTTATATCGTTACATTTAGTGATGTCTAAATTTGTGTTGTGTTTGGATGTAGATTGCGGCATAATTATATTGGGATTACAACGAGGTCGCTGCCGCCGCAGCGGCGTGCGATAAGACCGCACGTGAGTTGTTATAGATATAGCAAATAGCAGGTAACGACGACGAGATATTAAATTTGTTATTTATATCGATTGTAACAATAATTGAAAACTAAGCAGCTATTTTTTTTACGTTAATACATCTATGCTAATTTAACACAGAAGTTTTAAGTATAATTGATACATAACCAATATATGGAGTAAGTAACCACAGGACGGAGCGCAAGCAGTGTGCGCGTTACGGGTGCCTAACGCGAATTTACATAATTTTATGATAAAATATAATTACCTACATTTATCAGTTGAAAAGCAACTTTCGATTGCGTAAGACACACATCGTCGAATCGACTA